GGAAATGTATGCAGCTGCCAAGCATAATAGCACGCTGTATACGTACATGCGACAAATGCAGCCTGGAGAAAATTCATGCTCTCGTAAGTCATTTCCGGCTTGAATAAAAAATGACGAGAAATGCACAGCGGTGCACTCTGTTCGACGCGTAATGAAGCGCCCCGTTAAACGCGCTTTCAATTTGTCAACGGGAACGGCCGTTAGTATTTGCCGCGATATTATTCTACGTCAAACTTGACGGCGAATTGATTGCCAGCCGGTTTAGTTATGACAAACCGATTAAAATATTATATATCGACACCTCACATTTTTATCAAGATACTCGGTTGAATTTCGCCCCAAGTATATTTAGCGAGTTCTGGCGAGGGCTCGAGCGTGCCATTATCAATACATGCATTTGCGAATTCCCGTTTTACGGCGACATTATTTACAGTGAAAGAAAAGTAATACAAATGAGTGGTGCAAATAATTATGATCAAAAGAGTCGGTAACGACAGCACTAGGGCATCTCGCGAATGAACAATTAAGAATAACAAGTAATATTTAATGATTCCCCTTTAACATTGAAGCTTTTCATTTTTCTTTTTCCTTTTCCCAATTTTTATTTTAAGGGGATGTGAAAGTGGCATCCGAAAGCTCAATCGTTCATACAACTTTTCTACGAACTGGGTGTCTGAAATCGTTTCATACTTTAAAACGTGAATATGGAGACCCTAAGGTAGGTCCTGAAACTCGTGAAATTTCCTTTATTATAAACAATTTTTAAAATACCTATAAACAAATTTGAAAAGAATTGAAATTTTACGAGTTTCAGGACCTTCCTTGTAGTCTCCCTATTAACGTCGTAAAGTTTCATACTACTCGGTTAATTGAGTTGGGAGAAAAGTTGAATAAAATAAAATCTCTTCGACGCCACTTTCACGTCACCTTAAACCGTGTGCGGCGAACTTAACGAATTCCCGATTGGCGAAAAGATTCGCTAGGAGGCAATTAACTCGTTCCTGGGGGAACTCCCAGTATTTAAATAATTTAACATAATTGAATCCGAATGCACTTGGAATTTCTCCCCCCTCGCGGGAATAATTCATTCGAAGGAGACGTCCTCCAAGACCCTCTGGAGGTTTCTCCCGATTCGAGGCCACCCGATGGAAGATGATAAATCACTCGGCATATCCGAGGGCCGCGTGCGCGGCCAGCTAATTGCAAGTAAAACGGATCCACGTCGCGTCGTTAGAAACGACGTCGGGGGGGGGGGGGGGAAAAAAGCACGGACGTCGTTGCGATTTCTTTCGGGTCCCCCTTTTCTCGCGCGGCAGCTGCAGCATCTCTGTTCCCACGGGGAGAGGAAGGTGGCGCCGAAAAAAGATACCGAGATGCACGCGCGATTCTGGAGGGGAACCGAGCCGAGCACTCGGGAGAAAGAGGGAGAGAAAGAGAGGGAAGGCCGAGTGACGAGTGTTATCGCGAAAGGCATTGACCTTGGGAGGGCTTCACGCTCAGTTGCGCTCGTTATTAACGAGAGGACTTCTCGCGTGCCCCCGGTGCGCGCGCAGGTGCAGGGGCGCCGCGATTGGTCCTCGCGTAAAGGACTACCCCGAGATCGGGCCTGATTGGTCGAGCCGCGATGACGTCATCTCGGCGGCCCGTAAACCGTCCTTAGCGCAGCCCTTCCGCGCAGATCCTCCCCAGCCGGTTCGATCCCGATGCCGTCAGCCTGACGGCTCTTAACCCTTTGCTTACGATTTAACTTCTAAGAAACGTGCGCGTACAGACTATTTTATTTTAAGACTAGAAGTACCGGTGGATTTTTTTTGTATAGGATGGGCCATTTGAAACCAGTCATTTTGAGTGGTCTTGGTAGTTCTAGTGTTAATGCAACTCTGTGCCCGGGGTTATCTATAGTCCCAGATTATACCGATTTTTATTTTTGAGGGCAGCAAATTTTTTGACAAGGAGTATAGTCAATTGTACCGACCATCAATCCTGAGTTAAATTATTCTTTCGTGTTCATGAAATCAACCGTTTTTGTCCTCTTCAACGGCTCCATCTTTTTTGTTACCGTTATTCTCACCCAGCAAATGTACAGGAAGTTGGTTTGCGCCGATAACGGAAATGCGCTCGATTGGAGCTCGTGGGAAACCGAGAACCGGTCATAGGTCTCTCTTTGTCTCTTTCGTTCCCTCCTCCTCCTCCCCCCTCTTTTCCTCTCTCTTTCGCTCATCTTTTTTTCGATTGGTGTACACGCATATCCCGTATTGACTGAGTACACCTTTATGCACCACCTGTACGATCTGGCGTAAGCCCCCCCCTCCCCGTATCGGGACGTACTTTCAATTATGGGAAATCTCGCGAACATGGGAAAGTCATGCTCATTGTGCGAAACGGGCCCCCTCCCACCCACCCAATCCCCCGATTGTTCTTGATCGTTTACAACCGGAACGGTTCCGTAACTTTCCGACGTAACAGAGAGTGCCTACCCGCGTGTCCGAAGAAAGTATTCACGGATTTGTTTTCCCTTAGTTTTTCCTTTTTCTTTTTCCCCTCTTTCAAATCCATTCTCCGAGTTCTTCACGATGAAGTTGCCTCGATGAAAGTGAATTCATATTACGTAGAGAGGGTTGTGAGGTCGATTTAAATCATTTCTTTGAACATTATTGACTTCGGACAATTGATTTTTATTTTTTAAAATCATGATTCTTGTCTTTAACAGCCTGAGTATTGCAGAACAACCCGGAACTCTTTGATGTTGGTCTCAGACAATTGGGAAGAATTCCAGCAGGATGAATTCTTTTATTAATTATTTTCAAGGAACAATCATGGATAATCCGAGCGAATATCGTTATTCTAAAGTGCCGTCAATTTCAAAACGCTGCGTCGAGAATAGAAATCGTAGGGAAAATCTCGAATGGGATTTTCGTGTCAATGATAATTTGTCTAATCGTTGTGAAGGTTTATTATGAAAGATTCGCTGAAAGTCGCGAGTACGGATAACAAATTCGGATAGTTAAATTTGCTCAAGGGGTCTCTTCTTCACGGCTCGACGAGGGATTGTGAAGCTTTATCTGAGACGTGTCATCATACTCGGCCTCAAAAGTGCTTGGTAACTTTCTCGAATCTTCACCCGCATCAACGAGTACATAATATAAGAGCCCGTATATACGTGTAATATATAATGTATAAGAAAAGCGATTCGTCATACGACTGGAGCCGTAGGTCGGGTCTTCCGTATGTGGTAGGGCACACAGTTGTCGGGCAAATAAGATAATTGATAGCGCTTTTATAATTGAGAATGTACTCTGCAGCTCCTCTTGGAGATTAAAGAGGAAGTGTCCTCTCTCGGGTCGACCAATGGCTTTCCCTTGGTTTTACTCGCCACCCCGATGACTAGGAATTAATGGAGACGATTTACTGTTCACTTTGTCGTAGAACCGCAGACCTAGAAGTTTGGATTAAGAGAAACTTGAATATAACTTTTTTTCTTTTATATTTCACACAAAATTTGATGTATCGACTGAAATTGAATTTACTAAATATTATGCCCATTTGATGTGTTAATCTTAACCTCGAGTGGACTACTTTTTATGTGAATTAAGTATCTGAAATTTTAGGGGGTCTTGCTTTGTGCATCTAGTTTTGGAGGATTGAAAGTAGAACAGTTTCGCGTTACTTTCGTGTCTGGCCTCAATGAATTACCGGGTACAGTTGTATGCCAAACCCTGATATGCTTTACAATTACTGTTGCTACGGAGAATGTCAAATACCTGACGCATTGACTGTTAATGAAGAATCCACGTTAAAGTGGACTTAACTCGCGGTCAGTCTATGAAAGACTGAAAATCCACATCCATTTACTATATACAGAAGAAACGTGATAATTAATGTTACTGTCTAAATTTATAATTATATTTAGTGTTTTACTACAGTACCCATGGTGTAATAATAGTATTTAATTTATGAGTACTATTAAGATAGTAAAGAAAATTTTCTCAGTGCTGAATTTGAAGGGTTGATCCCATAGGTATCTTTACCCAGATGGAGAGAGAGAGAGCTGCGTTCCTATGTGCAGACTATATATCTTCTGGATATACTTTTAAGGCGTAGAAATGCCATTTAAATACCCCATGCAGGAAACTTGTGCGTAGCATCTGCGTTGCGCAAACGGCGGCTCGGCTGCGCGTGCGGCGCATGTTTACGCCACGCGTGGACTGAGTGCGTGCTTCCTTGATCGTCTTTTTTTTTTCTTTTATGTTACTAACAAAAAACTCGGAAATTGATTCCTACAGTAAATACGATGGATAATGTAACGAAAGTATGTTCTGCATAATCGATAACCGAGGTGGAAGCGTTGTAAACAAATATTGGCTGTGCCAAACCGCGCGAGCCCGTCCAACACGCGAAGTGAGGTTATGTCGACGATTTCGAGTCTTGCACTATTCCGTTTCGGACCTGGAATTTTGGAACAACGAACGTGGAATAATTCATCTGGCATCCATGTACCCAGTACGGAAGTTTCCAGTTATTTTTAACACTCGTCGTGTAATGTTTATGTTGTTTTTATGGCTTATCAAAGTTTCGTTTTGGGGGTGAGTGCCTCCCACAGCTGGAAGAGACAGCTGATGATGTATCACTTCTTGCAGCTGTTGTAACTTAGATATCGATGCTTTGTGAGTGTTATTTCTGGTTTATTGTACATTAAAGCGTTTAAGCTGGGAAAGGGTGATTTCAAGCTGTAGATACGTGAATGTCGAATATTTTTAGCTGTTACAATATCATAACTTGAGTGCTGACGAGACCAAAGACATTGTGATGTTTAATATTCCTTGCAATTTAAATAATTAGGATGAGGTACATTCATTTTTAGAGTATAAGATCGTAAAGAAGGTTATGAAATTATTTTGATGAGAGAACATATGATTCAGAAACAATTTGTACATGGTTTGTTATTATTGAATCATCATTTACGTTGAATCGATATTAAATATTTTTCTTTTTTGTAACAGGGACTAGGATGCAATCGTTCGGACGAGTTCAATACACCTGTTAGTTCCGGAAGCAACATGGGCAGCATAGCACGATTTCCCAAACTAGATGAGTGTGCCCACTTTCACTACGAACATGTGGAGCTTGGTGCTTTGGAGGTACGGTCTTATATCTAATATTAATTGATACATTATTTATAAATATTCTCTGTCCGCTATATTTGAACACGTAGATTTAAGTATTGCACATTATTTAACCAATATTTCCAGTTAGCACTGAAAGCTACTAAAGAGTATTAATTATTCAAATTATGATGTTAAAATTAAATTTAAATTGTGTTAAAAAAAATTGAATTTGTTGAAATTGTCCGTAGAAATAATATAAGGATAGAAGTAAATAATTTCACATTGTTTTCTTTTTTTCCAGGTTTCCATCAGCGAAGGGCCTAACGATACTGACAGTTTTGCCGTCAGAGTAACATCTGGTGATGCGTGCTGGACCTTGCAACGATCTTACGAGAACTTTGTTATGTTCGATAAGCAATTACATCGATGCATATTTGATAGGAAGTTTTCCTCTCTAACCAAACTTCCAGACTTGCAGCCAGATAATGCAGTCAATCTATTGAGAGACTACTTCAATCGTTTCTCGCGGTTAAATCACGAAGGGCTAAATTGTGGACCAGTCTTAAATTGGCTACAACTTGACAACAGAGGAAGAAGGATTCTTGTACCGGAATCGGATTCATGTCCCATAAACACTCCTGCTGTTGCAGCTGCTTATGCTGTCAGACCATACACTGCTCAAGCACAAGATGAAATATCCTTTCAGGTAAACGCAATGACATGTATAACATAAATAAGTAAACTGTGTCGAAGTGACAGTCCGAGTAGTTGGAAAGTTTGAACTATCGTAATGTCTTAAAATAAACCACATACAAAGTTAGTAACGTTCCAAGAATTAATTTCATTTATCAGTCTGAGGGTGATAGTACAATGGCAACACATGATACCCGCTAATGGAGGGAAGAATGTTGACGGGTTTTATTACCGTCTGGTGCAAGAAGTACAGATTAATTAGTATCGTTAACCTTTAGACACTCTTGGTTTATAAAAGTAGGTTAATCTCTGGTTTTACTAACCTGGACACGATAACGAACTAAACCGCGCTTTTAACGTAACGCTCGACTTATTACGAGTTTGATAACGTAAACGTCGTTAGATTCATTTATAAACTATCGAAACAACGTACACATATCTTATTTACAATTTGTTTCAGGTTGGAGATATGATTTCTGTGATAGATATGCCTCCTCCGGGGGAAAGTACTTGGTGGCGAGGAAAGCACGGCTTCGCAGTAGGTTTTTTCCCAGCAGAATGCGTCGCTGTCATCGGTGATAAAGTGCCACGGCACTTGACAGTATCCACCACTGTCCGGTCAAAGTTGCCGGTGAAACCGGTCCTTAGGAAGCACGGGAAACTCATCGCTTTCTTCAGGTCGTTTATCCTGAACCGACCATCCCGAAGACGTCTCAAACAGTCCGGGATCCTGAAGGAGAGAGTATTTGGCTGTGATTTGGGGGAACACTTGTTAAATTCTGGTCAAGATGGTAAGTTTAACGTAAAGTTCCTATATACCTTGAACTCTTAATTAAGCGCGCGGGAGTCACCTAGATTTACAAGCTTAACAGCTTATATATAAAAAAATATATATATATGAATCGTGGTTCTAGAGCCTTGGAAACTCCTGCTCGCACAGTTAAGCCATGAAAAGACCTAGTCAAAAATTGGGTTAATTGGAGCTTGTTGTTTTTATATTTTATATTTATCACCAACAGAAAGCTGTAGAATAACTAATGAACGTTTCGACATCTACAGTACCGACAGTGCTTACTTGCTGCGCGGAGTTCATAGAAAATCACGGTTTGGTCGACGGGATTTATCGGCTGAGTGGCGTAACGTCGAATATCCAGAGATTGCGCCATGCATTCGACGAGGACCGTGTACCAGCTCTTCACTCGGACGAGAGCATCCTCCAGGATATTCATTCCGTGGCGTCGTTATTGAAGATGTACTTTAGAGAATTGCCTAATCCGTTATGCACCTATCAGCTGTACTCTACCTTTGTTGGGGCCGTCCAAGCTAATACCGACGCGGAGAGACTACGGCGAATGAGAGATACTGTTAGGAAATTACCACCGCCTCATTACAGGTAAATGGAAGGCATCGCATTCTTGATACAATTTGAGCCGTAATTTATTCATTAAAAGTACTTAAGAATTTGTTTGTACAACCTATATTTCATGATCCAAAAACGTATTAAACGTGCGTTAGTCCGAACCTAGCTTACTGCACTCTGGTATACTAAATAATCTACAGGAGGTAATGCCCGTCCTGACTGTTGTCCCGGAAGTAAATCTGTAAACTCGTTAAAAAGTGATTTTCGCGGGAAAATTCTCTGCCGGGACCGATTCTATCCATTATTCATCGTCTAATTTGCATATCGTTACCGGTAGGAGCTCGAAACTTGAGAAAGTTCAAGATTAAAGTACTTCGAACGAAAGGAAACTATCACGCGAAATGGTCGTTCTCGGGATGCAAGGCCTTAGCCACAATATAAACATGTATGAATTCGATTTACTTCTTCCAGGACATTAGAGTATCTCATGAGACACTTGGTTAGAGTGGCAGCCCGGGGCGCGGAGACCGGAATGACGCCGCGAAATGTGGCGATAGTGTGGGCACCTAATCTTCTGCGCTGCAAGGAACTCGAAGTGGGAGGCGTGGCCGCTCTTCAGGGCGTCGGAGTGCAAGCCGTCGTCACGGAGTTCCTCGTCTGCTACGCCGAGCTGATCTTTGGGGACGGTCCCGTTGGCAGGCCTAAATCCTTGGCCATTGCGACGCCGGCGAGGTTGTTGAGCTTAGAAGAGGCGAGAAATAGAAGCGTGAGATGCGAGGCCGACTACATCGAGGTGGGAGCTGGTCCTGCCGGGCTACCCTTGCACTACCACACGGTCATAGAACTGCCGCGGAAGAGGAATGGATCGAAACGATCGCCCTCGTTGAACTGGAGAGCTTTATTTGGCAGAGGCGCGCCGGGAGCTCGCGGAAAGGCCAGGCAAGTTGGCACTCCGCCGCAAACCGAGACCATGCCAAACTCTTTGAATTCCCTGAGACGATTGCGACCCGTCAAGAGCGCCGACAGTTTGGACGGCGAGGACAGCCTAGGTCCTCTTTTGGGACCACCGCCCACCAGACCATGCGGTCATAGTAGATCGGTATCTCACGACTCCTATTTCGATCACCTGGCGGACGCTCCGAACGCGACTTCACCCTTGGACCTCTCCGAGATACAACTCAACTTTGACCTGGAGGAACGAGAGATGAGGATGTTCTCCGAGGAAGAGGGCGGGGGGATTGCCTCGGTTGAAGCTTCGCCGCGAAGGCCGAGGATAGAGGGCCCCCAGTGCACGGTAGCCAGTGGCGGGTCTAAGAGGAAGAGGTCCAGACTGGAGGAAAGGCTGCATTGTGAGGTCGAGTTGAGGTTCATCGACAGCCAGAGTCCTGACCAGGTAAGCATTTGGAAGTTAATATGTCTACTTTCGGACTTATACTTAAGAAAAAGATGCTAGAGAGATACTAATTTATTGAAATGCTTTTTAATTCATTCCGTAAAGTAGTTTCTTCATTGACCAATAAAATGTGGGAATTGCGGCATTTCTATTTTCCAATGAAAGAGAACACAATCTGGGGGTAAATCGATGTATTGTATAGCAAGTGCAGTTAACAACGCGTAAACTAGCGATGAAGTTAAAAAAAAGCATGGATGATTAGATCAGGAAACATGAAAAAAATACATGTGAAAATGGATTACGATTCGGATATGTAGAAGATTATAATTTGTGTCCAGGTCATGGTTTCCGCGGACATCCACGGGTTGGAAACGCCATCGCCGTTGCCGACTCCGGGCTACTTGCCGCTGCTTTCCGAGGCTTCGACCCCGTTGACCCCGGCGACGTTGCAGGGAACGCCGCTCTCCATCTCGCCAATACCGGCGAACAGTCCTAGAATAAGTTTCCGAAGTTTCACCTTGCCGTTAGACGTCGACAACGAGCCAAACAACGCGGATAAGTTGAATAGGGGTAGCTCGTCTTCCGAAAAGATATCATCCGACCCTAGTCATAGACTGTCTATAAACGTAGACGATCAGAACAACGTCGAGTCCTGCAAGAGAATGTCGGCGTACAGCAACAGGCTGGTAGAATCCTACGATAACAGATCGACTCCATCTGCAGATAACGCGAAGATAAATTGCGAGAACAACGGCGTGATCGAATCTCAGGACCACGAGATGACCCCTTGCGACAGGCTAGGATCTCCTTGCAACGAGACGACCAATTCTTGCGACATGATTGCATCTTGCAAAGCTACGTCGTCCGCTAAGTCGGGTTTGCACTCGGCCGAAGATAGAGGGCAGCGGGATCGCGATAGCATGCAGAATGTACAGAAGTTACAAGGTACAAGGAGCCAGGAGAGCCCGAGTTCCAGATCGGCCGACTCGCAGGACGACGAAGTGGTAGCAGCGGCAGCTGCAGTTGCCGCTGCAGCAGGGTCCAGCGCACACGGGAACGATCTGGCGGGGCTACCCTTGTCCAGTGCAACGGACCTGGACTCCCCAATGTCCTGCGAGCAGACCTTGGAGGACTTGCCGGACTCCGGTTTCGTGATATGCGATAGTTCCGATAAGATGTTTACGAGCACCGAGACGCAGCAGCTGATAACGAACACGAACGACTCCGGGGAGTGGGTGATGGTCGAGCGTACTACCGGGTCGATCACCACGCCGACCAGCGAGTCCAGCAGTCCGAAGGACCCCCTGGACGGCACGGTTAATCCCGCCATAGCTACGGAAACGCCCCAACGGCGATCGAGGTCGGAGAACATCTCGAGAACGTCGTTGGACCTTACTATGGGCTCTACCGCGGACACGGACACGTCCTGCATCGGGGCCAGCGAGTTGACCGAAAGTCTTTTACTGGTGCAGGATACAGGAGACATAACGCTCGACGTGGCGGAAAACAAGGGATGCAAGACGGCCACGGACCAACAAGAGATGTGCCAGGGAACGGAACCCGCCTCCGACGTGCACGGAATCGTGCAGAACGAATCCAGGATCTCCAACAGGGTCTACGATAACGATCGTTTGCGGGACCAGAGTTGCAGACAGAACCAGGAGAACGGGAACGACAAGGAGGGTACCGGGGACTCGAGCGACTTCAACGTTCGTCAGGAAAGTGGAGAGCTGGAGCGGGAACACGATGGATCGGGCATGTATCATCACCGACTGGATAACGAAAACGTGTATCGCGTTGATAGGATCCAGGCTGCGGAGACGACGAAGCACTTCGCCGGGGAAGAGAATCTACAGAGGTTGGAACTCACGGATGAGAACTTCGATCGGCCACAAAAGCCATGCTCGGTGCAGGAACGAGAGACGGGTTACCCCCAAGGCTACGACCATCGGGTTTTCGCGGGTAAGGCAGAAAAGGAGATGGCTAATCGAGGCGTGGCCCGAATGGTGGCTGCTAGTCCAGGCGAGGAGCAGCGGTTATTTGAGAGGACCAGGGAGTTCGCCGAGAGGAGTGCCGAAGAGAACCTTGGCCAGCAGCGGAAGTACCTACCGAAGGCCATGCAGGAGACGGCGAATCGCAACAACGGGCAAGGTGCCAGGATGGGCGAGGACGTCGGAGGGGCAGCGACGATCCCCTCCGAGAGCGCGGCCGAGCCGTGCGAGGTCGCCCACGGTCCCGAGGGGGCCTCGGGGTCGACCTCGCTGGACTCGTCGTGCACGTTTTCCGACCCGTCGTCGCCGGTGGACGAATCATTGGTGCTCCGGGACACGGCGGCCATCTTGCAGGAGCTCGCTCTGCAGAGACTCTCGGGCGGCTTGTCGGGCGACCTGCAGGTCTCCACCAGGAGGCGCTACGACTCGGAGGTCACTCCCAGGGAGAGGCGGAGCTTCGACTCGGAGATCGGTCGAGAGATCATCAGGGAGCGGAAGATGCGCCAGGAGCTCGACTCGGCCAGGGGCAGGTCCGAGGAGCCGGCCAACAACGGGGCCCAGCGCCTGCCGCCCTGCCTGCGGGCCAGGCACGCCCGGGGGACCAGGGCGGCCCTCAGCAGGTCTCTCGACGAGGGCAAATTCAACCGCATGACCGGGGAGGCCTCGTTCGCGTCCAAGCAGGGCTCCGAGGAGGGCCAGCACGGCTCGAGCCCCGATGTCGGAGCCCAGACCTGCTCCATGTCGGCCGGAAGCAGCGTCGAGAAGGTCGTCCAGTCCAAGAACCTCGGCGGCCTCGACCTCGGCGATCCCCGGTGCCGCGAGCGGATTGAAAAGTACAAAGAGGAGAGGCGCACCTTCCTCAGGGACAAGTACCGGTCCGAGAGCTTCCGCGGGACGACCTCGAGGACGGAGGACGACACCGAACAGGCCCTCCTGGCCAGGCTCAAGCAGCGGGCCTCGAGGCCCTCTCTTCATTGACCAAGTGATACCTATTCTTTCTGTAAGCTCTCCGGGCAAGCCCTGGATGTCCGGCTCTCTGTCCCCCTGTCTCCGTAGCTTCGCAAATTAAGGGGACGCCAAAGTGGTGTCCATGGGGTCCATTGTTCGTCATACTTTTCTCCGACCTGGGCGGATCGAATTGCTTCAAACTATATGACGTGTGAATATCCAGGCTATGGGGAAGGTCCTGACCCTCGTGAGATTCAACTGTTTTTTTTTTATTATTTAAAAAATATCTATAAACAAATTTTAAACATGACATTTCATGGATGTCGGGACCTTACTTATATTGTCTCCGTGTTCACGCTGTGAAGTTTGAAGCAGTTCGGTACACCCGCAACTGTACAAGAGTTTCATAAACGCGAGACTTCTTTGGCGCCGCTTTTGCATCGCCTTAGCGCTCGATTTGTCTCGTAGGGGTCCAGTGGTCCTAGGGCAGCCTCGTTGTTCCAAGAGATGGGCACCGTGGACGTGGACTCTCGGTTGGCGACCGACGAGTCGACTCTATTGTTGAGTGGAGCGGGTCCGCGAGGAGACCCTTGGAGATATCCAACATTCCTATCGATATTATCGTCAACGATCTTCCCCGCACCTATTGGATTAGTTAAGGTTTCGTTTTTACGGTGATGTGTCGATGTGCGTGTGTGTACAGGTCTGATTACCGGCTGGGATAAAGTATTGCTCTCGATGTGTGCACGGTTACGTTAATTCCGACTCGGTGACTTGAGGTGTATCAGAGGCGGCCCTGTTATCGCGCGACTTTGCATATTCGACTTGCCTTCGATTGTTGCGCTTTTTTGGGAAACGAAAGCGCGGAACGATGACGCTTTCTTTTTCATTTATTTTCATTTCTTTTATCTTTTATATTTTTTGGACTTTCGCGTTTGGAACCAACGTTAAACGTTCCTGGACCAAAGCGCAGCCGAAGAGCTGCGTCTTCGTTGGTATTTTAATTCGTCCAGCGATGAAGTATTAACATTAGTTAAGTTTAAATCTCTCTTTTTTTCGTTTTCCTCGTTTTCATTAACAAAGGATTAATCGTTATGAAATTTGAATGCTCGGCCCTGAATCATATACATGAAATGTAATCTCTCGATTTAAGCGTTCCGTGGTCGTTATCGCTTTGGAATTATTCTCATTGATTTCCGAACTCTGGTACACTGTCTCAAGCCTTTGCTCGCTGATTGTCGGGAAGAAGACAGGCGAGGGAACGCTGAACTCTCTCTTTATAATTTAAACATCGTATTGAATTAAGTATTTTANTATTATACGCGAGAACGTTGTTTTCTGTTTGTGGACGGGTCCGCAGCGCTATAAATATTTTTTGTATATGCTAGTTTCTATCTCGGGCTCATATCTAATATATTAATTTATGCATTAAACTCTCTCCGTCGTCGTTGAGATAACTCACGTGAAATCAAGATTACTATTAGGAGACATTCGGTGTGTCCCCTTAAGAGTAGCCACTAGATGTTACTTAGATCGTAATGGTTATATTAACCAGCAGTTACTCGGTATATGAAGGAAAGAAAGAAAGAAAGAAAGAAAAAAAAAAAGATGTTGCTTCCATGCACACGTTTTACCGCTTGAAGAGAGAGAGACTGTGGCGGACATCTCTTTAGTTCCTTTCGAGTTTAATTTACCACTTTGTGCTCATGATATAACCAAAGCATCAAAACTCTCGGACAAAAGGAACGCGTTACTCGTAAGCCCTCTTCCATTTGTTGCTTCCGATGCGGAGTATGTAGACAGCGGGTACTCTCGTTGTTTGTTAATTGACAAAGACCTGGGGAAAGTATCGGATCGAGGTCTCGATCCGATATCCTCGCTTTTGAAATATCTCTCTAATATGGATCCTGTATTATGACCTAATATCGAAATACGTTTTAGCTCGAGCCTTTCTGCGCACAATCTCTTACGGTGTCTTTCAAAGAAAGCAAATCGAGGTGTAATTACAATTTCCACGAGCAATTCAGTGTATTACGACCGAAGACTTGTTACGACTCTGTACGCAACGATTCACTCGAGATTACGGATTTCGATTTGCTTGGAAGTGAATCTCTGCGACTATCGCTTCATTGAGGAGGGTACCAAATTGATGAAATAAAATCTATTTGTTAAATCGCCGGTTGTATTAAGACTTTCCTTACTCTAATAAAATTTCTTTAAATCCTATTGTACTCTGCGGAAGTAGGTGTGAGTTTTATTTAAACTGATCGGTGAGCTGAAGATCATAGGGAACGAAACGAGATTTTAATTACACGTGCGATGTACTGAATAGATTTTGTTGAACTAATTTTTCTTTTTTTTTATACATATGTATAATGAACGTTCGACTACATACATGTGGGGTCTGTTTAAGTGCTAGTGGTGTAATTGAACTAGTTGACCGTACTCGAGTATTCCTTGAAAAATGTAGGATCTTGTTGCGTTGCATGTTGTTGCTTGTTATATTGCAGTTAATTGTAGACCTGAGTATCAACGTTGAATTGTTTTATATAAAATTCGTCGCGTTTCTAATCAGATGTTCAATTAAAGGTCAGGATGTTTTTTAATTAAACATTAATACATATTTACCTACGTTTGACCGGTATCTCCGTTGTTAATTAAAGTTTCGAATGTGTTAATAAAGCATCTGATTCTATCGATTTATTTTGAAACAAACGCTCTAATGCTTTTGTAAAATCAATACGATGATCTTCGTAACTAATGAACCATTTTGAGACCTTTAATAATTAAGTATTCGGATACCTAATGTCAAAGGTGCCTGTTAATCATTGATTAGAAAACAACGATAAACATACTTTTACAATTCTTGATGAAACAATTTGAAACGGATGTTCAGGTCTCCTTTATTTATTAATCTCGATTGAGTTTCGCGTCAAATATATGGAAGAAGTAATTCTACCCAAATTTTACAAAATATTACGGTCCCATTTGACACTTTCGAGAAAATTATTTTACTGCAACCATACACAAATTTAATGTTTATTTGTTGATGACATTACCTTTATAGGTTCCTCCGTTCTGATTACATGATATATTATAATATGTAAATTTGACTCAACGTTGTGTCGGATAGTACGAGTATTATACGCTGAATATCGACTTTACATAATGTGTTTGCCTAATAATATACAAACAATACGTTGGAAAGACTGCTTAAGATCGCATTTTGTGTTACTGATTACAGTATCTCTTATCAATTCACTCATGAAGTGAACACATATATATATATATATATATATATATGTATATGCTACCCAGCTCTTTCAATCTTCGCTATTTTCTATTCTTGTTTAGGCACATGCGTATATATGCCACGACTGAATAATTTAATAGATGCTACTATGATAAAAATCAGTTCGCGATTATATCTGGCGTAGCGTAGGAGATCGCACTATTATGTTTACTATGTTACTAGAAATTGGCCTAGGACGAGGTGAGATATGCACTAATAGTGCTAATAGAATATTAACCCGAAAGTAAAGCGAACGAGCTATCTAACGGTGATTAAATCTGCATAATAGTAGGCGAATACGGCAATGCATGCTAAATATTTATTTTTCATAGTTTCCGAGCGGTATGAGTATTCGAAAGGGGTATGATAGTTTATAGAACGGTAGGACGCCAAGATTGTAGATTCGATTTCATCTTTAGAGGTGTGTTTTGATTTTAAGGAAACGTGGGAGTGAGTTTTTGATCCTCCTTCAGATTTTCGTTTTCCAAATGTATGATAAAAGATGTGTCTGAAAATTGTAGAATAGTGAAGACCACTCCAATGGCCACTATCGTCAAATGTTGTGAAAAAGCTTTATATCTTTGGTTCCACTTCATGAGAACTTGATGGTCCTTTCCAGAAGTTGGGAGATCGGTGATACTGAAAAGAAGATTCGAAGTAGTGAATATTTCTCGTTAGCAAATGCGACAAGTCGATAAGTGTTGAAAACTCACCCATAGCTTCCTTTGAAACGCCTCCTGTTTTTATGTAAAATCTTAGTGATACTCGCGAAAGTACGGAATATTATTCCACTTGGGACTTCTAACGAACATCACTATGTGTACTAAACAGAGTCGAAGGAATCAAAAGCTGCTGCAATATTACATGTAATGACTAATAGTAATCTTGCTTTTGAGCAGCAAGCCCACCGTTCGTCGAAACTGGACGCATCCTTGTCTGATTAATATTAAAATTTTCGTTATCGAGGAAAAATTGTTTTCTCTGCCGCATTAATAATAATTAAAAAAGGTGTATATATATATATACACATATATATTACATATATATATACACAGAAGATATATGTAAACAAATATAAATATTATAAATACGATATGTGCGTATTTTTGGAAGAACGTTCGATACATGAGTTTTTCTTACGTTTCGTTGGATTTTCTCCTGAGACATTTTTCGCATTTTCCCTGGGTTATTGTGCAACGTTAAATATGAGACATTCTTAGGTTTCTCCATTTATCGTTCTACGCGCTATTCCGTTGCTCATTGATAAAGACGGGGGTAAGAACCGGAAACGAGCATTTTATTCTTCGTCTTCGCGTAAACCTTACAGAAATTAAAGGAATTAAAGTGCGTTGTTACTCAAGCAATTCCTTTTCCCTGCAAAGATATACTTTTTATGCCGAAATAATTCGGTTTTTCATGAAAGAACATTAAATATGAGACAATCACCTGTTAATTTTCTTTCTACGATACTTCATTCCACGTCGGAATTCAAAAGCATTAAAAGGATTCTCAAAAATGCGACGTTACGTCGAGATGCAAATTTTTTCATGCGATCCTATTAAAAATCTAACGATTGTCAATAATAGCTTCGTTAAACCGGGACCGAAAGCTTTATATTTTTATTTCTTCATCCGTTCTTTCCGGTTCCTTTCGATTCCACTTTAAGGGCGAAACAAACTAAGTCTCTTAACCTGTTAACCGGGTGTAACGAAATCCTCCATTGCGAGACCAGTTGTACAAAAGTTAATTCCCCTGTTAACAGGTTAAATCTACTTGCACGACTTTCCCGAAACAATGATTTCGCTAGTACGTAATCTCGCTAGACATACAACACTCGTCCAAATGGTGAAAGCGACTCGTACGACGCGCCTCCAATTGATGAAAAACCGAATTCTAAGCCAAGAGGCAAAAGAATCGAAAGCAACCGAAAAGAAACCGATATGAAACCCGGAACCGGATCCTTTTCCCACCGATGCGAAACGGCATCGAAGCAATTTCGACGTTTCGGTCCAAGTCTCCGTTTGGAAGTGGAGCGGATCGGCGTGGTTTCGGGAACCCAATTTATATCCAGGCCAGCTTCCGGTTGGCCGTCTCGGGGCATTTCCGATATCTGACCCCAGAGGGCAGGGGGGAGGAGGGAGTATATAACCCAGTGCGCGACACATTGTGATCTCGAATCAACTTCTTTTCTCTCCCCCGTAACCCCTTAGCGTCGGAAGAGGCTTCAGTCTTTACTCCTTTAACCGCTGTGATAGAGTGGTTGAAAGGTGAGGGCCTCTCGAGGCAGGCCGGAAGAGCGGCGGGGTCGGGCGAGGGGTTGCTTTTATGCCTCGGGACCGAGGACCACTCGAGGGCCCGGGGTGCACCCCGGGCGAGAGGCCGACTCCGTGACTATCGTCGGATCTTTCCCGGTAATTATTTTTAAACACGTCGTGGAGATACGGATCTTTCTCGCGCCCCGGCTGGCGGCCTCTCTCTCGCGCCCGCCTCGCCACCCGAGCGCCCTCTCCCTCACCGGCGGCCGAGCGGTAAACTAGTCGCGTCTCTCCGCGGCCTAACTAAATAACCGGACTAATTAGAGGTTAGCGACGGCGCCGACGCGCGGCCTGGCCGCCCGTTCGGGCACGTATCGGCCGCTCGTTTTCCGTCACCCGACGGCCAATCGAGATCGCTCGATTATGGCCGCTCGCCGACACTCGGCCTTATTACAGTCGATGCGGTGCTTTTTTCTCACTGTTTTTTTTCTCTCTCCCTTACGAGGTAGGGAGTCGGGTGATCGAGGGCTCGACCGAGACCGTTCGTCGCGGAAACGTACCGAGATCCGGAAATTTCGGAGGCGTGTATTTTTAAACCGAGGAGACTCTTTTCCTAGAGTTGGAATGTACTGGCGGAGGTACGACACTTTTCCCCGTTTCGACCGCAAGTCGCGCGGCATGTCGCGGCGCCATCTTGCTTTTTCAATGAACGATCGGCAGGAACCCGATGTTACTTTCTTT